AAATGTGAAATACCTTGCACAATTATGCAGTGAACACTTGGAGATACTCAGCATATGCATATGTTATTAATCACACCATAACTTAACTACATACTGCTCAAATAGTTTTCAAGTTTCTCTTGTCTTATAAATTGTGTTAATTAGCTCAATGATCAGTTCACATTTGGATTCCTGCTTTCAGTAGCAATCATATAACCCTTAGATTCAAAAGCCACATCATGCCTCTAACGTTAATAAAGATGTACTTGGCATTTATACAGGACTTTTCTCAGCATTTCATAGACAAGCCACTTTGACATTTCTAGGAAGCATTTAGTCACACGACTGTTACAGAGAAACTGAAGTGTGTACATATATTTGTATGACTCATACAAGAATACAAAGCAACAGTACCTACATTACTAAAAAGTAGCATCCCATAATTTGTTGCTGTGGTATTTTACTCTATGGATAAAATTCCTAATGAGAGTTCCTGAGTACTTACTCTGATGCAGGGCACTTTCTCGGCAATCTATAGATGACCTTTTCTGTAATTTCGCCTGCAGCAGATCTGCTAGTTTCTGGGTTGATGGCAGGACACCACAGTAACCAGTCACTTTGGAAACAAAATAAACACACTCCTGGGGGACTTTGTATACTCTGTGAAGCTTACACTGCTATTCCCAAAAGCTTCTCAAAATCTGCCATATGCTCTATACTGAAAGCCAATCAACGTTGCTTGCTTATACAAACTGCTCTGAACTAACTGAAAAGAGCTGTTTATATTAATTAACAGAGACTGGTAACCTTGTTTAAAATTGCACTGCCTGGTGCACTCCAGCATACAATACAAGCTTGTAGTATATCTTCAGACACACCAGCTTCTTCTTTTTAAAGAAGAAAGGTGCTTTTTAAAGCACCTTCAAACCATTTTTCACCATTTAATTCTACTGAGTTATGATGTCTAAGAAACATACCCTTTGATATCTAAAAGTGAGCCCAAGGTACCTCCAGGATAACCATGTTGCATGGAACAGGTGTTTGCAGGTGGAGCTAGCCGTCAAAACTAGGAGCGTCCTTAACATTGGGACTATGGCAGTAGAAGAGCAGCCTCTCTGTGATGGAATAAGAGCAAGCTGTAGTAAGCAGCTCTTGCATTAACGCAAAAACCCTCTTAGAATCACTTATCCTTTTCCAATGTAGCCTTCTTCCAGAACAAAGGCTTTTAAGTTGCATTTAGTACCTTTCACTACACTGTGTAAACACCTTAGATGATAATGCGAACATTTTATACCAATATAATCATCTCACATAGGTCTTTCAACTCTCAGCTGAAACTGTATCAAGCTAACTTCATCAGGTTGGGTGGAGAAAAGGCAGCATTATAGAAGTGTCAATACAGTGAGGCATCCCAAAGCACTGTATTGAGAATGAGCATTCTTACTCATATTAAAAATGAGAAGATAAATTCAAGAAAAGAGACCAAAACTGGTTTAACAGTTTCCCTTTAACGCATATCTAAAATTTTCTCAAATTCGCCCTTTTTCTCTCAAATTCTAGCTTCGCCGATTTTTTCTAAGTCTTTTTAATCCATATTGTCTCAAACTTGTCTGGGAGATGCAACAATCAATTATTAAACTGTTAACAGCACACTAAAACTACTCCATAAACTTATAAATCAAAAAAATACTATGAAGGGCAGAGAAGCTTTCAAAAAATAGAATCAAGAAAAGTTAGTTATCATAGCTGTTGAAGTTCTGCCAGAAGAAAACTGCGACAAAACACAATTTACCTGCACCATCAGTTCCTAAAATACCAGATTCGGCCTACGTTTAAGGGTCTACCTGCTACTAACGTGATACACTTTCACTGAAAGGATCAATGAAGCTGTTATCTTCTATTTCTCCTCAAGATGCAGCACTAACATGATATGTGTAGGACATTAACATCAGTAGTTTAATTAAGTAAATCATCTCCATTGGGTAAACATGTCCCTCTTTACAAAATGAGGGTCCAATTTATCATCACAACCTGAAGCACAGCCCTTGGACGTCTTCTGTCACAATTCTGAACTAATCCAAACCTATTCATCTTAGAGGAAGTAGTCTGTTGTCTTCAAACATCTGTCTTGTGCCATTTGTGTAGCCCATGGCTTTATGATGAGATATTTTTGTCTCCTTATTGTGTGTTAACTTCAGGCTTGTCTAATTATGTATTGTTGGTAAATAATTTACATTTTCCCTTTTAAGACCGCCACCATCTGTGACTGCACCAGCCTTAAAAACTTCAAAAAAGGGAATCTGCATCTCCATTGCCTAAATTGGGCAGTGATTAACATACACTCCCCAGACTTTCCTTTTGTACACAGTATACGAATTGTAGTACTTCCTAAGCATTTTGCTATTCCAGATTCTACTGTTTTGTAGTACTTATACTACACGTGTTTTCTAGCTTCATTACCAATTCTACACGACTGTACTTCACACGTGCCTAAGATTAACCATTCGCATCAGCGTGACGTTCTTCTCATTCCCTCTCTCTTCTCACCCCTTTACCTGGTCCTTCCCAAAGTAAGGACCACCTACCGACAGCTACTCACACTAGCCAAAAAGCTGCCCTCAGTACCGTGTGGCTTCGAGGCAGCCGCCGGCACTGGCTACTTCGGGGTACCTCCTTCTCCAACCTATTTGCCGAATGCACGTTAAGGCCAGCCGGGCCTTCTCTCTGCTTTGAAGATGACGTCTTCAGCTCTGGCAGGCCACAGCAGGGGGAGCGGGCCTTTGCCCTTTCAGGGGCCGCCTGCGACCCCCCCATTTCACAGGGGTTAAGGAGGAGACCTCGCTCTTTCAGCCCCGGCTCCTACTTCTACGGCCACTATCTCCTCCGTCGGCCTCAGCCTGTCAGCACCGCCGCCAACCCTGCGCTTCTCCGGCCCCCGCAGCCGGAGGGAGACGCGGCCCTCAGGGTGAGGCGGGAAACGGCGCTTTGAGGCAGCACCCGCGGGGCGCGGCCAACCGGCGGCAACGGCGCGAGGCGGGGCGG